TGGATGCGGCATCCTTTCCGCGGAAACTTATTTGTGGTCGTATTGTCGATGCGTTCTTGCAGCTAGCAGAAGCGAGATTGTTTCAATTTGATGCCTTAGAGGACGTGCCTTGAAAATGTATCCGACGGCCAGCCAGGGAACATCAGGCTGATTACAGAGGCGCGCCCGTCTATATTTTGGGTACGTTCTCCATGTATAAAAAAGGCATGCGTTCACGTCGCAGATATCCGTCCATCGCCGAAGTCTGCAAGCGAATATCTGTTAGGGAGGGTTTGGAGCGCGCCCGCTGAGGCGCTGACAAATGTGAGGTGCGAGCTTGTCGCCCGGATCGGGCCGCATGGCGGCGCGCAGTTGGTCAGGGTCGATGCCCGTGCTTGTCCAGACGCAGCGTCTCCCATCGGGCTTGCGGTGATCGGCGCGCTACAGGAGGGGGCGTTGCACCCGACCGTTTGCCGCGGGAGTTGACGCCCAAGCGGATTATCCCGAGCGGCGCTTTACACCACGTGCAAGAGACAACCTCACGGGGGAGACCGCGCCACATCGCCCCGGTGAACAGACGCACGGGCCGCCATTACATATTGGATTTACCAAAACCTCTGGAGTACGAGGCTCGCCCTTACGTGTGCGAGACATGCTACAACGCACGCGCGGGCGACGACAATGGCCTATCTTGCGGGGTGCGCGGTTGAGCACCATCTTGCTGCCCATAGATGTTGAACAGTTTCGCCATGTATACCGCCATTCCATTATCGCGCCAGCGCGTGCGCAACAAGACGTAACAAACGTGTCCGATATGATAGACAATGCGGAAACAAGTTGAATGGTTACCCACTCGTTGCTTCCCAGCTGTTTCCTCGACCTCCAGAGGTCCCCGCGAAGTTGCCGGAGCGTTGGGCTGGAGCCGCGTTTTCAAAACGAGCCGCTTTCAATTCTACGGCTCATGTGAAGGGTTGTGCGGGCCTCTTCCCGCTTGCCCAGCGCAGCCCATCCTCTGGGCCCCAGCCGACAAGGCGCCCCAGAAGCTCCCATGTGCCACCGTGGAATTGCCGCCAACTTGTGAAAATGAGCCAGTCGTTCTCGATTGTAGAGTTTGGCTTCTTCTAGCCGCCGAGGGGCTCGAGGGTGGCCGGATTGACTCGCGGGGTCGCCGTGGTCATTTTGGCTCAAGCTTGTTTATGCACCCGCGCGCTGGCAGGGCATTCGCAACATTGGTTGCGATCTTCGGATGGTGGCGTTTTCTTCCCTTCGCGACGCGCGAGCGACTTTATCTACAGATGGCCCGCCCATTGAATTGATAATCACTTTCGGTTCCAGACCTTCGAACAGCATGGGCCATGGAAACGCAGCGGGGGAATTGAAAAGATCCCGGGCGAAAGGTCCACACAGAGCATATCTGAGCTTGTTCGGAGGCAGCGATTTTGAGCAGCTGCACCCTTACTTGACCAAAGGAAATATGTTTGTTTGGGGGAAAATCGTTTTGATACAAGAGGCATGCTCTTGGAGGCGTGTCACGCGGGCTGGGCGGCTTGATAGCGACGCGACCATCGCGCCTGCATTGCCGCACATTGGCGACGCTAAGCGCCGATATCTGATCAGGCCGCGGCCTTCCCCGGAACCGCCCCGTGCCTGTTTTGCAAATTATGTCGGCCGTCTTGGGTTCTTAAGGGCATCGCGGGGTCTCTTGGGCGGCTTCTTCTTTTGTTGGGCCCTTTATCGCTGTGTCCGTCTCCCCTTGCCTGCCCATTGCAAACGGAAGCAATTATCTAGGCTCTTGGGGCTGAGAAGTTTCAGGATCAAAAACGTTCTTGCTTGAACCTGGCCGCCTTCATAGGCGGGCCAGGGCTGAAGGGGGATCGGCCCATCCGCTGATCCCGCGCGATTCCCAAAAAGAGGCCGGCGGACCTTCAAGACAAGATGACATTCAGATCATCGGCTCCCATCGCGCGGGACATTGTGGACACTAGCACTGTTGGTTTCGTAGGATACAGGGAAGTATCCGCGTCCAGTGACGCGCGCTGCCCGCGTGGTTGCAATTGCGGCCAATCGCCCCACGTGTTTTTCAATGCTGGATTTTTTGGGTGCATGCCCGTCTCGGCAAAGAGACCATCAGGCGTGGGCCACGCACATGCCAGACATGTTGGGGCCCCGCGCCAAATGGGCTGGTAAAGGGAATCCGACCAGCGTTTGGCGACGCGGCCTGGCGTCTACCTCACCCAGCAGAAGTCGTTCGCGGACCAGCAAAGGTTCGTAAAGGCCAATCCCTTCGTGCCTTTCCATGGTCGCACACAATGGCTCGGAAAGTCCCAGGTGGGTAGTTGGGCGCACAATTTCTTGAGGGAATTGAGCATGTCGGCGAGGCGCGACCTGCCAGCCGCGAAGGCGTTGGCGGCCACGTTCGCATCGACTTCGTCCGCGGAGCACGTTGCCGAGGCCAGGAAGGCGAGGGCCAGGAACACCGAGGCCGTCGAGCAAGCCACGGCCAAGCCAATCACCATCCACTTGCTTTCGGCGAGCCCGCCCCATACTTGTCAAATTGTTAGTTCGCTAGCGCCTTTAGAGTGCCAGATTGCTGGAGTGGTTTGCCCGCCTCGCCGTCGGCGAACTGTATTGTGCGCTTCGCAGTTCAGCGCATCAAAATAGATCCTGCCGCGTTGGCGCGGCGGCGGATCCAGGGTAGAAAATTCGCGAGCATGCGCGCGGTCCGCGAACACTTCCAGGTGGACCATTGCGGGTTGAAGAGGTTAATTGGGGAGTGATCGCGCGGGCCGCCGTCCCATGGCAGTTTTCATCTTCTCGCGTTGGGCATTGCTTCGTGCATATCGGGCTCCCCGCCGCCCGGCGCGCGTTTGGCGCGTTCGCGGGGCAAGAGCTGCTCGGCGCCCGATGTGAGGGTCAAATGATGTGAAGAATTGAATTTGCAATGGTGTTTCAGCGGCGACTTCTGGATCGGATACTTCCTGGGGAACTTCCCGTAGTGTTTTGCGCGTTGCTTCTTCAATAGTGCCAGTGATGCTCCATCCGTGCGTTCGTGTCCGGGTGCTGGACGGAATTCCATAGGTGTTTCTGCGACGTTCCCGTGATCGGGCGTTCCTGGGGGCGGTAATTCCAGTGGTGTTTGTGCGCTTCTTCTTGGGAGAATTCCAGTGGTGTTTTTGCGGCGTTCCTGCTTTTGGGTAATTCCAGTGGTGCTTCCGCTGTGCTTTCGTCATTGGATGCTTCTTGGGGTAAGGTAATTCCAGTTGTGCTTCTGCGCTGCTTCCTGTGGAAGTCCCAATGGTGCTGCAGCATTGCTTTTTGGAGCTGTTGTGGCCACTTGTTGTCGTCATCGTCGTCGTCGTCGTTGTCGTCGTCGTTGTCGCTGCTGCCGCCGTCATCGCAGCCGCCGTCGCCGCCGCCGTCGCTGCAGCCGCCGCCGCGCTCGCCGGGGCGAGCGAAAAGAGGAGGAGGAGGAGGGGGAGGAGGAGGAGGAGGAGGAGGAGAATGAAGGAGGGAGGGAAGAGGGAAGAGGAAATGGAGGGGGAGGGGGATGGGGAGGAGGAGGAGGAGGAGGAGAGAGGAGAGAGGAGAGAGGAGGAAGAGGAGAACGAGGAGCGGGAGGAGGAGGAGGAACATGAAGACGAGGGAGCAAAACGAGCAAAGGGAGCAGTAGGAGGAGGAGGATCCTAGCAACCCCTGGCCCACGCCCTCTCGGTCTGCCGTGCGGCCCAAAGAGAATCCCTAGACGCGCGAACCGCACGGGGCCCACCCCTCGCACGGTTATCGTGTTATCGCGTTTTCGTGTTATCGTGTCCCCCTCTGCCCTTGTTTCGGTTGTCGTGTTATCGTGCTATCTTGTTATCGTGTTCCCCCTGCCCCTGTTTCGGTTATCGTGTTATCGCGTTTTCGTGTTATCGTGTTACCGTGTGGCGGTGATTTCGAGAAACTGTTTGCCACCACGCTGGGATGTTTTGACTATTGTTGAATTCCCCCCCTGTGGAGGGACAGGCCCGACTTAACCATATTCTCGGGATGGAAAAGCACACAGGCACAATGCATCGTCGACTCCCAGGAAAATATGCGAAACATATGGGAAATGGGGGGGAAGACGAAAACCCAGAAATGTAAAAATATTGGGACTCCTTGCATTCGGGCCTGTCCCCTTACAGGGGGGGCTTGGACGAACAATTAAAAATGTTCAAAACATACCCAATGCATGCCCAGATATACTAACACAACTATTCCCCTGACTTGTTTTTGCTATTTTAGAATTTCCTCCCTGTAGAGGGACAGGCCCGACTTAAGCAGATTCTCGGGAGGGAAAAGCACACAGGCACAATGCATAGTCGACTCCCAGGAAAACATGCGAAAAATATGGGAAGTGGGGGGAAGACGAAAACCCAGAACACATATAGAAATATGGGGAATCCTTTATTCGGGCCAGTCCCCCCCTACAGGGGGATTTTGGACGAAACATACAAAATATTCAAACTATACTCAAAACATCCCCAGAAATATTAAAAAAAGTAGTTCCCTGACATTTTTTTGCTATTTTTGGATTTCCTCCCTGTAAAGGGACAGGCCCGACTTAAGCATATTCTCGGGAGGGAAAAGCACACAGGCACAATGCATCGTCGACTCCCAGGAAACTATCGGAAAACATGGGAAGTGGGGGGAAGACGAAAACCTCGGAGGTTGATAGACCTCCTACCCTGACACGTCGATTAAGGAATTGGCCGTTTTCGGTTCGCGAGAGGGCGTCGCGGCCGTCATTTTTGCGGGTTCAGGTCCGTGGGTTTCGGTCCCAGGCCGTTTTCACCAAGGGGAGGTTTTCTTAAAGGGAGGTTTGTCCACCTCCGAAAACCCAGAAAATATCGAACCCAGAAAATATCGGAAACTATGGGGAATCCTGGGATCTGTGTCTGTTCATTTGCGTGTCCCGGGGCCCCTATTTGTACTCGCTCAGGCAGATCACAGAAACCTCAGCAGCATTTTTGACATTTACCACGCCTCAGCGTGTCCAGGGGGCACGGCGACGGATTTTATAGTTCGGCGGGCATGGACCCATGCGGCTTTCTCAAAGTCGTGATGCCGCCGCTCTGCTTGCTCCTAGCGTGTAAAGTAGGTTTAGGAAGGCACGGCTGTCGACGGAGTCCGAATTCTCTCCATTTGGGTTATGATGCTCCAGCCTACTTTAGCCTTGACCACCAGAAAGAATTTCGAGCGCCCAAAAAAGAACCGAAGCTCAAGGGTCTTCACGTGTCGGGCCCTGGGAGACACTCGCCCGGCACTGTTTCGACACCGTGTCGACACTCTCTTGACGCTTTTCCGGGTGCCCGAACTTATTTCTGGCACGTGGTCCTTCAGCAGGATGGGAGCAGCATAACATTTGGGGCGTGTGTTAGTGGCGTGCGGGCCGGTGCGGTCACCAGGCTGCGGGCAGGCAGACGCGTGCAGTGCGCCCGTGCCCGGGAGAGGGGGCCGGCTCGCCACCGCCGAGGCTTCCGCGGGGCGCGGCGGGCCTCGGCGCCCCACCGTGGCCAGCAGAGGCCCGCTGCCACCACGGGCGCTGCCGGACGAAAGGGGGGGGGCTATGGGGAGAGGGGGGGTTACCAAGGGCGCCCTCGAGGGCGCGAAGTTCTTCGCGCCTCGCGGTCCTCGTTCCCTCTCCTCCTTCTCCTCCTCGACCTCCTTGTCTCCCTCTGGGGGGGCGGCGCGAGAGCGCGGAGTTATTCGCGCTTCGCTCCGCGCGAGGCGCGAAGCTGGGAGCCCTTGGTTACGAAAATTGCCGCATGCAGCTGGTTTCGGCCCCACCGAGGGGTCAATTCCTTGATACATGGCCGCCTCCAGCGCCGGGAGGCGCCGGGAGGATCAGCTGCGTGAGCTGATGCTCAAATCCCCCCCTTTGCTATCCCCCCCTTCCGCCCGGCCCGATACAGGCGTTGCGCAACCGGGTCCGCGGGAGGCCCGGCGATGGTGGCCCCGTTTCCTGTCCCCGACTGCGCGCAGGGAGGATCCACCCGTGCTTGCCCGAATCGCCCCAGGCATGGCATCATCATAGTGGTGCCGAGTGCCCTCTTGCGTTTAGGTCGGCCGAAGGGCTGGCTTGAGAGGCAGAGACGTTTGCAGGAGCCTGTGTGGCGCGCTCCCCGCGCAGGCAACACTGCACCTTCGCTGGTCTGGTCCTGGTGGCACGGTTCGCCAGTGCCAGCGCAGCATTCCTGGTGGTGGCTTTTCGAGAACCGCCGGGCATCATGTAAGCAGGCGTCGATTGTCGTTGTTTGGCTCTGGAGCGCCGTGACAGTTGGCACTGTTTTCTGGCAAATCCAAGAACAAGAAGGCCTTGACATGTGATGCTTTTCTGCCTTCCCCAGTGCCCAGAGGGCAGTAACGTGTGACGCCTCTCTTTCCCATTCGTATCGACGTGTGTCATCGTCTGTAACGGGTTGTCCCCCACGTGGAGAGAATGCCGTACAGTCAACCCGCATAGTAAAGATGGGCAAATTTCCCAAGGGCACCCTTGCATCCTTGCCTCCTCGGTCCATCCTTGGCCGCTTTCGTTGGTCGTGCCCCGCTCGAAAAGCTTCGAAATGGGCGCCCAAGGCCCTTGCATCCTTATCGCGCATCCTTACGATACGGGTTGACTGTACCATGCATCGACGACGCCTGCGTACGGCGAGCCACCGTTGCCCCTGTCTGTTGGAGATGCCCTTGTTGGCGAAGGCCTGGCGCGGCTACTGGACTGCGTGTACCCCAGAGGTCGTGGAAACCTTTGTTGGGAGACACATCTCAGGAGGGAAAAAGACACAGAGACACAATTAATCGTCGATTCCCCAGAAAATGTTGGAAATTATGGGAAGTGGGGGGGGGGGAAGACACAAATCCAGAAAATATGGGAAAATATGGGGGATCCTGTTATTGGTATGTATTTATTTGTGTATCTCAGGGCCCCTTCAACTTCGGAGAGAGAGGGAGAGAGACAGAGATAGAGACAGAGAGAGAGAGATAAAGACATACAGAGGCAGACAGACAGACAGAGACAGACAGACAGACAGACAGACAGACAGGCAGGTAGGCAGGCAGGCAGGCAGGCAGATAGAGACAGAGAGAGAGAGAGACAGAACATAGAAGAGGAGAGGAGAGGAGAGGAGATAGAAGCGGAGAGGAGAGGAGATGAGGACCAGTCACCGCTGAGCGGTGCGCTGGTTCCGGGGTGGGGGGGTTGCGCCCGCTCTCGATCAAAATGCTCGGGCGCGCGGACAGACGCGTTCACCGCTCGGAGGAGGTGGACGCCTTTGGAGGCTGTCGTTGCGACTTCACTGGGCCCTCGCGGGGCGCTTCAGGGCCGTCTTTGAGGTCTTTTGGCCCCCGTCGGGGGCCTCTTGGACTGTCATGGGACGCTCTTGGCCCATCTTGGGGGCTTCTTGGGCCGCAGTGTGGCTATCTTGGAGGCCTCTGCGGCCGTCTTCGGCAGGCGGAAGCCCAAGCAGGCGAGATTGCGAACATCTTCCAAGTAGCACATCGAATCAGTGAGTCTTCGCCTCTCTTGGAGGTCCTCCTGCAGGCCTCTTAGGGCGTCCGGGGGGCCTCATGAGCACTCTTGGGGCGTCAGGGGGTATTATACGATCATGTTGAGCCATCTTGGTTTGCCTTTGAAGCGAACTGTGACCTTCTCGGAGGCCATCTTGGAGGCCGCCTTGGGGACGAATAGTTCGGACATGAAGGTATGTTTCTGCGGTTTGCGCTGGATTCCGGTGGCCAGCGGGTTGTGTTTGAGGCCCGTGCGAGATTTTCTGGAAGAAGGCCAGAATGTATTTAACTTCGACACGCCGAGCACCACTTTGCAAGACACAGGCGGCTGCGGATCTAGCAGCTTCCGTCCAATCAAGCCACCGTAAATGTGTTGTGGGCAAGAGGCCCTTCAGAAACTTCTTCGGGGGACCTCTGTCATCCTCCACATCCTCCAGTAACCTCCAGTCATCATCCGAATCGTTTTTTCCCAACCAACCTGTGTTGTTGGGTCCTCGTTTTGAAGAGACGGTCCCCGCGTTCCTTCCTCCTTCCTCCTTCCTCCTCCTTCCTCCTCCTCCTTCCTCCTCCTCCCCTTCCTCCCCCCTCCTCCCCCTCCCACACCCATTCTGGCACACCCCTCACACGTTTCGTGGCCCCATAGGGAGCTCCACCGAAGGCCCCAGTGGCTGCGCCCGCATGCGGTTCCACCCCCCATTCTGGCACACCCCTCACACGTTTCGTGGCCCCATAGGGAGCTCCACCGAAGGCCCCAGTGGCTGCGCCCGCATGCGGTTCCACCCCCCATTCTGGCACACCCCTCACACGTTTCGTGGCCCCATAGGGAGCTCCACCGAAGGCCCCAGTGGCTGCGCCCGCATGCGGTTCCACCCCCCATTCTGGCACACCCCTCACACGTTTCGTGGCCCCATAGGGAGCTCCACCGAAGGCCCCAGTGGCTGCGCCCGCATGCGGTTCCACCCCCCATTCTGGCACACCCCTCACACGTTTCGTGGCCCCATAGGGAGCTCCACCGAAGGCCCCAGTGGCTGCGCCCGCATGCGGTTCCACCCCCCATTCTGGCACACCCCTCACACGTTTCGTGGCCCCATAGGGAGCTCCACCGAAGGCCCCAGTGGCTGCGCCCGCATGCGGTTCCACCCCCCATTCTGGCACACCCCTCACACGTTTCGTGGCCCCATAGGGAGCTCCACCGAAGGCCCCAGTGGCTGCGCCCGCATGCGGTTCCACCCCCCATTCTGGCACACCCCTCACACGTTTCGTGGCCCCATAGGGAGCTCCACCGAAGGCCCCAGTGGCTGCGCCCGCATGCGGTTCCACCCCCCATTCTGGCACACCCCTCACACGTTTCGTGGCCCCATAGGGAGCTCCACCGAAGGCCCCAGTGGCTGCGCCCGCATGCGGTTCCACCCCCCATTCTGGCACACCCCTCACACGTTTCGTGGCCCCATAGGGAGCTCCACCGAAGGCCCCAGTGGCTGCGCCCGCATGCGGTTCCACCCCCCATTCTGGCACACCCCTCACACGTTTCGTGGCCCCATAGGGAGCTCCACCGAAGGCCCCAGTGGCTGCGCCCGCATGCGGTTCCACCCCCATTCTGGCACACCCCTCACACGTTTCGTGGCCCCATAGGGCTCCACCGAAGGCCCCAGTGCTGCCGAAGCACTGCGCCCGCATGGGTTCCACGTTTCGTGGCCCCATAGGGAGCTCCACCGAAGGCCCAGTGGCTGCGCCCGCATGCGGTTCCACCCCCCATTCTGGCACACCCCTCACACGTTTCGTGGCCCCATAGGGAGCTCCACCGAAGGCCCCAGTGGCTGCGCCCGCATGCGGTTCCACCCCCCATTCTGGCACACCCCTCACACGTTTCGTGGCCCCATAGGGAGCTCCACCGAAGGCCCCAGTGGCTGCGCCCGCATGCGGTTCCACCCCCATTCTGGCACACCCCTCACACGTTTCGTGGCCCCATAGGGAGCTCCACCGAAGGCCCCAGTGGCTGCGCCCGCATGTGGTTCCACCCCCCATTCTGGCACACCCCTCACACGTTTCGTGGCCCCATAGGGAGCTCCACCGAAGGCCCCAGTGGCTGCGCCCGCATGCGGTTCCACCTCCCATTCTGGCACACCCCTCACACGTTTCGTGGCTCCATATGGGAGCTCCACCGAGCGCCCCAGTGGCTGCGCTCGCATGCGGCTCCACCCCCCCATTTCGGCACACCCCTCACTCGTTTCGTGGCCCGGGGGCGCCACCGAAGAATAGATCCACAATTGCGGTATTCACAACTACGTATGGTTGGGTCTTTCGTCAGGCTAAGTTTCTCTTCGTCCTGCTTTTTGTTCCTCCTCCCCCATGTTACTTCCTCCCTCGTCCCCCATCCTCCATGCAGAGAGTTTGCACCGTCGAGGGTTTGTTGTTGCATGATGTACTGATGATGTGAAGCCGCTTCAGCTGAGTGTCGTTTCGGCCTGATGCGGATTGGTAACATCAGGACGTTTGCCTCTTCATGGTAGCGGAAAGTGGTTGGATCTCCGGACGACGACACCAGGAAAGGTTTCGAGTACGTGTCTCTTGTGACACAGGACGCCAGTTTCGCATTGTGGGAACGGATATACAGGTATCTCAGGAGATGCGCTCGCCTGCAGGTGACTTGGTGGGCGGGAAGATCGAAGCAGAGCTCACCCAGTCCAGGGCGAGGAATACTGGCAACTAACGAGGAGGTGGCCCGACAATTGCAGGCCCTGCCCAAGAGGTGCAGAGCTCAGCGAAGACATCGCGAGAACTTGTCTTGAGCAGAAGAGAGGCATTCAGGCGACCCCTGCCCTGATGGAAGCGGCCAACTGTATGACGGAGAGACAAGACGGCCAGTTCCAGAGGCTGGTCGACACGAAGGGCATCGGCGAACTTGCGGTGTAGGCAAAGTACAGAGAGTGGGCTGCCAAGTTCGAGTCGTTCGTGGTCGGAGTCTTTGGCGAACGTTTCAGGGCAGTGCTGGAGCGGAGCATCGACCGCCAAAACCTTTCTGAGAGAGGACATTGGCAAGCGGCGCTCGGTGCCAAAAGCGGCGACGAGGTTGGCCAGATCGACGAGATGGTGGTTCAACTACATGCGGCGATCCAGCAGCTGACGACTTGTGAGCCGTTCGGCGTCACCCAGAACGTTGAGAAGGGCAACGGAGTCGAGTGCTGGAGGCGCCTGGCTTGAAGGTTCGACCCTTCCATTCGCGGGCGCAAGCGGAACTTACTGAAGCATGTGCTGTTTCCCGGGCGCTGCAAGCTTGAGGAGCAGGCGGGCGCCCTGGAGAGATGGGGGGGTAGTGGAGCGTTACGAGTCCAGGAAGGATGATGACGGCAACCGGGAAAGCCTCCCGGACAGCGTGCGCATGTCGGCCCTAGAGAATCTGTTACCGTCCGAGCTCGATGAACACGTCTTTCTCGACCAGAGCCGCCTGAACACCTACGAGCTGCTGAGGAGAGAGATCCCTTCGTACCTGGAGGCTCGGACAGGCGGTGGACTCCGAGACGCCCCGGTGCTTGCCGAGCAGCAGCCTGGCCCAAATGCCATGGACAGCGGCGCCTAGGTGCGCGCGTTCCAGAAATGCAAGGTCGGCGAGGGCAAGAAAGGCAAGGGCAAGGCGGCCGGTGGCAAAGGCAAGGACGACAAGTTTAAAAATATTTGCCGAGGCCCGGGCGGTTGCCAAGGAGCTGACGCGCCCCGCCTCGTCCGCTGGAACTTCGGACGCTCGGGGCACAGGAGCCCGGACTGTTGGAGCAACGCGGAGCAGGATATCCCTGGCGGTTGACAGCCCGAGGGCCACGCCTTCCTGGAGCTGGAGGAGACTGCGTAGAAGACGAGACGGAAGGTCGTTGACGAGAATGATAAAGGCGGGGTGAAGGTCAACTTCGACAGCGGCTGCGCGAGCTCGGCGGTTCCTCGGGATTGGACGCCAGCGACCTCGGCGCCCCATGGCCGCCGATCTTAAGACGGCGAGTGGGAACATCATCGCAGATGAGGGCGGCGGCGAGCTCGCTCGTGGGGGTCAGCGAGAAAGGCGCCAGGATGCGCTTTGTTGGGCGCAGAGCTGCCGTTGTCAAGCACCCCGTCGCGGCCAGCGAATTGCTCGAGAGGAGGATCGGCATCCTCGGCGAGAGCTGCGGCATGGTGATCGACAAAAGGTCCACAGCAAGCAAGGCGATCGCGAAGCTGGCCGCCGAGTTGAACTGCGAAGAAGAGCTGGGGGACAACGTCAGGCTACGCCAGGAGCGCGGAGTGCACAACGCGCGCCTCAAGCTGCCGAAGGC